AGGATGTAAAGGACCTCTTCAAAAAGAACTACAAACCCCTGCACAAGGAAATAAGAGAGGGCACAAACAGATGGAAAAACATTCCATGCTCATGGTTAGGAAGAATCAATATTGTGAAAGGGCCATGCTGCCCAAAGTAATTTACAGATTTAATGCTATCCCCATGAAGCTACCTATGACTCTCTTCACAGAACTAGAAATAACCACCTTAAAATTTATATGGAACCAAAAGAGTGCCCACATAGCCATGACAATTCTAAACAAAAAGAACAAAGCTGGAGCATCACTCTGCCTGACTTCAAACTATACTACAAGGCTACAGTAATCAAAACAGCATGGTACTGGTACCAAAACAGGAGATACAGATCAATGGAACAGAACAGAGGCCTCGATGGCAATGCCACACATATACAACCATCTGATCTTTGACAAATCCAGCAAAAACAAGCAAAGGGGAAAAGACTCCATGTTTAATAAATGGTGTTGGGAAAACTGGCTATCCTTGTGCAGAAAGCTGAAACTGAACCCCTATCTGACACCTTACACTAAAATTAACTCCAGATGGATTAAAGACTTAAACATGAGACCTAACACCATAAAACCCGAGAAGAAAACCTAGGCAAAACCATTTAGGACATAGGCAGAGGCAAGGACTCATGACTAAAAGCATTGGCAACAAAAGCCAAAATTGACAAATGGGATCTAATTAAACTCCAGAGTTTCTGTACAGTAAAAGAAATAATCATCAGAGTGAACTGGCAACCAATGAAATGGGGGAAAAAAATGCAATCTACCCACCTGAGAAAGGGCTAATATGCAGAATCTACAAAAACTCAAACAGAGTAACAAGAAAAAACAAACCCATTCAAAAGTGGCTGAAGAACATGAACAGAGACTTTTTAAAAGAAGACATATATAAGGCCAAGAAAATGAAAAAATGTTGGTATCACTGGTCATTAGAGAAATGCAAATCAAAACCACATCAAGATACTATCTCACACCAGTTAGAATGGTGATCTTTAAAACATCCGGAGACAACAGATGTTGGAGAGGTTGTTGAGAAATAGAAACATTTTTGCAGTGTTGGTGGGAGTGTAAATTAGTTGAACCATTGTGGAAGACAGTGTGGCGATTCCTCAAGGACCTAGAAATAGAAACTCCATTTGACCCGGTTATCCCGTTACTGGATATATATCCAAAGGATTGTAATCATTTTATTATAAAGACACATGCACACGTATGTTCATTGTAGCACTGTTTACAATAGCAAGGTCCTGGTACCAACCCGAATGCCCATCAATGATAGACTGGACAAGGAAATTGTGGCACATATACACCATGGAATACTATGCAGCCATAAAAAGGGTGAGTTCATGTCCTTTGTAGGGACATGGATGAATCTGGAAACCATCATTCTCAGCAAACTGACACAAGAACAGAAAAACAGACACCACATGTTCATACTCATAGGCAGGTGTTGAAAAATGAGAACACATGGACACAGGGAGGGGAGCATCACACACTGGGGTCTGTTGGGGGGAACAGGAGAGGGACAGTGGTGGTTATGGAGCTTGGGGAAGGATAACATGAGTATCATGCATGCTATCTTTCTTATGTATGAAAACAAAGTCTTGTTTGAAAACCTATTCATATACACACACAGTCAGATTTCTCAACACACCCACTCTGATGTGTTTCATAAAAGCCACCACATTCATGAGTTTGTGCTGAATTCTTCAAGCCCAATTGATATACTGCCTCACACCTATTAATCGACATTAATACTTAATATCTAATATGGTTTCTTATTGGCCCAGGGAAACACTCTTCAGTTTGTTTTTTAATGCTATTTTGTTTGATAGAGATATAGCCATGTTAATATATTTATTTCTTTTAATTTTCAAGGGTACATGTGTACTATTCCCTTATGAATGAAAATTTTGAGTTATTACTAACCATTCTAGTTTCAAACAATGCTTAATTAACATGGTTGTTCAAATTCTTGATCCAAAGGATTTTTTGTACTTTCCTAGAAATTAAGATGCTGGATGATAAGGCAGACAAATTTTTATTCAAATCACATATTTCTGGACTATAATAAAATATAACATCATGTGTTTTATCCAAGCACTATTTAAAGAATAGAGTTTCTAATCATTTTCCTGCTGCATGCAAATATTTGCTACTGTTGGACATATTACATCTAATAGCAGGTAACGGATTGTTTTCTTCACCAGGGTCTACCAGGGTCTCATTCTGTTGTCCAGGATGGAATGCAATGGCACACGTATAGCTGCTCACTGCAGCCTCAAACTCCAGGGCTCAAACTCTCCTCCTGCTTCAGCCTCCAACCTAGTAGCTGGTACTGCAGACATGCATCACAATGCCCAACTATTTTACTTTTACTTTATTTTTTGTAGAAAGGAGTTATTGCTATGTTACCTGGCTTGTCTAGAACTTTTAATCTAAAGCAATCTTCCCACCTTGGACTCAAAAAGCACTGCGATTACAGTCATAAGCCACTGTGCCTGGCCCATAATGTTTATATTTTACTGTGAATATGTTGTCTCTTTACCTAATATTCTTTATATGCCTTATTGATTTGAATATTTAATTTTTTGCTTACTTATTACAGTTATATATATTGGGCACCCTTATGCAAGACTATCACCAAAATGCTAGTTTTGTTGGTAATAACTTTCTGATACAATATATTTCTCATTTTCTAGCAACCAAATTTATTTAAGCCTTGATATTTTCATCATTTAAGAAAGTCAGACCTACAAGCTGAGAATACTTTTTACATATTTTAAACTTTTTTTAAAAAAAAAGGAAACTAAAAATTATTAGAGCTGTTTTAAGCTCACAGCAAAAATGAGCAGATGGCACAGAGATTTTCCACATATGCCCTCGCTCCTAACATAAACATAGCCTCTCCTATTAACAACCGCTAACAGAGTGGCATATTTATTACAAGTCATGAATCTACTTTAAAACATCATTACCACCCAAAGTCCACAGTTTACCTGTTTACATTAGGGTTCACTCTAGGTGCTATATATTTATTTTTGTACATATATTGTTGTGTGCTTATGAGTTTTAAACTCCTTTGGGTAAATACAAATGAATATAGTTTCTGGATAGTATGGTAAGAGTTTTTAAAGAAATTGTAAAATTTTCTTCCAAAATGGCTGTACCATTCTACACTCCCACCATAAATGAGAGTTTTTCTTCACATCCTTGCCAGCATTGTTTTTGTCACTGTTCTCAATTTTTGTCCTTGTAACAGATATGTAGTAGTATCTCACTGTTGTTTTAATTTACATTTCCTTAGTGACACAATACTATCCATATTTTCATATGTCTACTTATCATTTGTAGCTTTCTTTGTTGAAGACTCCATTAAAGTCTTTGGCCCATCTTTATAAATTAGGTGGTGTATTTTCTTGTGTTGAGTTTAAGTGTTCTTTTGATAATAGCCCTTTATTATATATGTGTTTGTATTATGTTTCCCCCCAGTTTGTGGCTTGTCTTCTCATCTTCTTTACAGTTTCTTTTTGTAGAACAGAAAATTTTAATTTTGATGAAGTCCAGTTTATCATATTTCTATGCTAGATTTTTCCTTTGGTGTCATTATTTAAAATGTCATTGCCAAATTCGAGTGCATCTAGATTTCCTTATGTTATCTTGGCAGAGTTTTATAATTTGCACTTTACATCTAGATTTGTAATATATTATGAGTTAATTTTTGTGAAGTGTATAAGGTCTGTGTCTTTTTTTTTTTTCTTTTAGGTATGTGTATGTCCATTTATTCCAGCAATGTTTGTTGAAAAATACTATTTTTTTTTCCATTGTATTCTCTTTATTCATTGTCAAAGACCAGTTAGCTATATTTGTGTGTCTATTTCTGTGGTCTATTCTGTTTCACTGATCTTTTTTTTACTTCTGTTATCAATACCACAATGTCTTGATTACTATAGCTCTCTAATAAGTCTTAAAGTTACATAGCATAAGCCCTCCAATTTTGTTCTTCTTCAATATTGTGCTAGCTTTTGGATCTTTTGTGTCTCCATATAGACTTTAGATTAGTTGTATTTTTGGAAGTGTTTCAGAAGAATTCATATTAATTATTATTTAAATACTTTGTATAATACATCAATGAAGCAAGCCATCAAGTCCTGAACATTTTTATTTGGTGAGAAATTATTAATCACCAATTCATCTCTTTATTCACTATTGGTCTGCTCAGATTTTATATTTCTTCATGATTTAGTCTTGGTAAATTGTATGTCTTTAGGAATTCATTTATTTCCTTTAGGTTATCTGAAATGTTGGTATATCATTGTTTATAGTAGTTGCTAATGATTATTTGTGTTCCTGTTTTATGTATTAATAGCCCCATAAGTTTTAATATTTTGTGTTTTCAATTTCATCTGTCTCAAGCGATTTTTTAAAATTTTCCTTTGATTTCTTCTTTGACCGATTGGTTGTTCAAGAACAGCTTTGTAATTTCCACATATTTTTCAATTTTCCAGTATTTCTCCTATCGTTGATTTCTAGTTTCATGCCATTATGGACAAAAAAGATGCTTGACATAATTTCAATCTTGATGTATGTGTTAAGGCTTGTTTTACTGCCTAACATATCTATCTTGGAAAATGTTCCATGTATATTTGAGAAGGTATATTTTGCTGCTGTTGAATGGAATATTCTCCAAATATTTGTTAGATATTTTTGGTGTAAAATTTAGTCAAGTCCAATGTTTTCTTATTGATTTTCTGCCTTGATGATTTATCCGTTATTTAAGTAGGGTATTAAAGCCCCCTACTATTATTATATTGTTGTCTATTTCTTCCTTCAGGTCTTCAAATATTTATTTGTGCTAAAGTTGGATGCATATATATTTACAATTGTTATATCCTCTTGAGGAATTGATCACTTTATCATTACATAATGATGTTCATTATCTTCTTTTTATAATATCAAAATCATCAGAAATAATTAGATAGGAGTAATCAGTATGTTTTAAGTCCTGATTTTGCATAGATGTTGATGTTTCATGGATCTCCAATAATAGTGTTACAATCTATCCTCCAAAAGGGAGAAGAGGAAAAGAGTGTCCCACCTGATGATCACTATTTTCTGTTACACTTCTTTTACTTAAGGTCTATTTTTTCTAAAATAAATATAGCTACCCTGCTATCTTTTGGTTTCCATTTGCATGAAACATATTTTCATTATTCCATCACTTTTCAGCCTATGTGTTTCCTTAAAGCTTAAATGAGTCTTTTGTTGGTAATACATAGTTAGGACTTATTATTTTTATACATTCGGCCCCTATACATTTTTAAAATTAAAAAATTCTGTTAAAGGTAGAAGCCTCCTGAAAATTTAAGAGAACACCATTGTATTTATATATTATTTAATCCAAAATGACAGAAAACCATAAAAGTAAACCTACTCACACATTTCTTATCATCTTCTTACTTCCCATTTTCAAAGTCTGTATTAACTTTATATTTATAAAGTTCTACAAAATCTAATGTTTTGATTAAATTGCTTAACTCAACATTTCACTATTGAAAGTAATTTTTTATAGATAAGAACATAAAATCATCATTTTGTCTATCCTGGCTGCTTCCTATTGTTTCCTGGCTGTTTTATAGAACCTCCAACAATTTGGCAAATATGGTTCAGGATTTCCTGCCCACACTCTGGGCAGGTTTTCAGAAGAAGTTTCTGCTAGTGGGTTTCTGCCCTAATAAGTTGTGAATCTCTGTGTTTACCTATTGTTCTCTGCAGTTTTGAGAGCAACAGTTTGTCCTAAGACCTTAATTCTCTTATGGATGCCAGAAAAATTATAGATTTATTTCAGTTTAGTTAGCTCTCTACTTGTTAGGACAGAGTGACAATTTCCAAATGACTTACATGTGAGGCCCCTATATATTTTCAAAAATATGTTTTTGGGGCCAGTGCCAGTGACCCATTCCTTTAATCCCAGCACTTTTGTAGGCTGAGGCCAATGGATCACTTGAGGTCAGGAGTTTGAGACAAGCCTGGCCAACGTGTTGAAACCCCCGTCTCTACTAAAAAGACACAAAGTAGTTCCCTGTGGTGACATGCACCTGTAATCCCAACTACGTGGGAGGCTAAACTGGAGAATTCCTTGAGCCTGGTAGCGGGAGGCTGCAGTGAATTGAGAGTGCACCACTGCACTCCAGCTTAGGAGACAGAGTGAGACTCTGTCTCAAAAAAAAAAAATGAAAAATACACACACATACACACACACACGCACAAACACACACATATGTACACAATATATATACGTAAATTTTTGGTTTTCCAATTATACATCTTAAACAATACAATTATGTTTTAAAATAAACTAAGCAATAATGATTTTCCACAGTATTTTGTTTTATCACTATAGTTGCCTAATACCTTACAAAGAGTTATAATCAACATACATCAAATATGTCTTAATAACTAATAAATATCATCCCCTTAACTACAGGTTTTATTTTATGTTTTGGAAACAAATACCATTATTGTGCCTCTATACTTACATGGGAATTTTATATACTAATCCATTATTTAAGTTCAATTAATATTATAATTATTTTATAGATTGCCTGAAGTTAGAGATAAATTTGAGATACTTTAACATATTTGTAATATTGATGTTTTACCTACAGTAACAGGATATCACTTATTATGTAATATCTTCATTAATGTCTTTCAATAACAATTTATGTTTTAGTCAACAAAGGATGTGTATACGTTTGGTACTATGTTTACTTCACTCCTAAGCACCCAAAGATTGTTTGCTGTTTTCTTACTTTATTTCATTTTCTAATTACCATTCCTATATAAAAATTCTTCTGACTTTCAATCGTTAAACTTGAATTGCCTATCAGATAACTTCATTAAATGTCATTTTATAAATGTCACAACTTCATAAAATATAATCACATTTTATGTTTATTAGTCAACAAATAACCTTTTGAATTTTATTATGAGCATGACATGTGTTAGGTACTGAAAGGGGCACACACATGAAATAGAGATATATTTAGTGATGCCTTACTAGGGTGTTATGTTCACTTTAGCCTAACGTTGACTCCTTACATATTTAATTTCAGCCTAAAAGTTTCTCTGTACATAACAAACTACAACCTAACTGGATGTATAAACAGACTATATCCTACTCTTCTATCAAACACTGAGTTTCAGCGAACTAAGGGTGGCCAACTATTCAAACTACATTTGAATAAGGCAAATATCAGCTGTATCTGGCTGTTTCTGGACCTCCCTTCCATTTTCTTTATGTCATTTTCTTTTTTCTGTTCAGCAAATCTTCTACCACCACACAGCTGTTACCAGTAGAGGGTCTTGACTACGAGTCGTTTGGTTCTCAGTGTTTTAAACGAAGAACTGGACAAAATGCACAAACCAACAAAAGAGGAAGCAACAAAAGCACAGATTTACTGAAATAAAAGTGTACTCCACAGAATGTGAGCAGGCTTGAGCAAGCTTAAGAGCACTGGTTGCAGAATTTTCTGGGGTTTAAATACCTTCTAGAAGTTTCCTATTGGTTACTTATAATGAAGGAGTGGCCCATGACCAGTCTGATTGGTTGCAGGTGGTGACCAATCAGAGGCGGAAGTGAAGTTACAGTTATACCCTATGTACATAAAGACTGGTTCTAAGAGGGAACCAACCAGAGGTACATTCAATTTTTCTTCTCGAAGGCAGTGGAAAGGTATGGGGGTTGCAAAGAGAGGAGCTTATAATATTTTTGTTACTTGGGTGTAGAGAGGTGGGGTTTTCCTTTTGATTCATTTTGAGGAAGTCAGCATGAATTGGCCATATGTTCCCTGTCTTCAGACCCTATTCTCCTGCCTCAGCTCCACTGTAGTCTCTCTGAGCCTGCTCTGGCTTTGTAGGTAGGTGCCAAGTGACCAAGAAAGATATGCATAGGTCCATTGTATCCTTGTCTCTCTTGCATCAACTGGGTATTATGGTAAGTCCTCTAGTGGATTCTGATGCTCTGCAGATTTGTGTTTTGAGCTCTCCATGTTTGAGCAAGTTACTGATCTAATCTGGGTTTGGAAGTAATGACAGAGACTGGATGGTTTCCAGAATTGTATTGATTCTGGTAATTAACTGGCTTAAATTCAGTTAGAGGCCTCTTATGTCTGACTATGTCAGAGAGAAGCTGGTAACAAATGGCAAACTTCAGCTTTTGAAAATTTGCAGGGATTTTTGTGTTTTACCCCCTTTGTTTCTCTTTCTTGTATGGTTAGCTAGGGAAAGGTCAGTTCCTAGGTTGATCAAGCGGATCTGAGGGTCAAAGCCAAGATTCAAGGAGAAAATGGAATTCTTTATTTCTAAAGAACTGAGAAATCTGCTTTCTAGCTATGCCTACATTTATATATATAAACATTAGGCTCAGGAAGTGGTACACACTTATAGAAATAGCAAAAATCTTACTGAAGATAATTTAAAATTACAATGAAATATTCCAAATGAATAACACTGCACTTTAAGGAGCACAGTTGAAAATGAGAACTCTCAAATTAGACTCATCCTACAGTGAGTGCAGATAGAGATACAGAAGTTTCTAAAAAGATTTTAATAATTTTATTGCTTTTGGAAAAAGACTCTTTATAAAAAGAAAAGAAAAAGCTTACATGACAAATTGATAAGAAAAATTAAATCTGCTAACCTATCAGTTAGTTAGGATCTAGCCCTGAATATGGAAGAATGCTACTCTAAAGTGTTTGTAGAAGATAGGCTCTCAAGTAAAGTAGGCTTGCTTCCTTTTCTAATCTATCCATGCTGATTTTAGGTATGGAGAATGGTTTCTTTGCCCTGTTCTCTAAAATGGATTCCACCCTAAACTCAGTAATTTCAGCTAAGTTAAAAATACCTTAAAAATTAAAATACTTCCTTCTGGCATTTTATTGGCTATCTTGAAAAACTTTTGCAACAGAAATGTACAATTTTAAAGGAAATCTGCCTTGTATGGGCATCTCTGTCTATACACTTAAACTGCCAGGAACTTTATGGGGAAGATAATGGCTTAAAATTTATACAAGAAACTTTCCCTTTATTTAAATCTAAATTCTCTGACTTTGAGGTATAAATTTTCTATACTGTTTCACCTGAGTCCCTTCTTTGTAGATACAAATTTTGAGTTGCTTCACTAACAATTGTTCAGGGCGGGAAACAAGTAATCAAGAAATTGATAGTGGGGAGAACTTTGGAAACTGGAAAATGAAGAATCTTATAAATCTATAAGATCGGCTTCTGTGTGTCTGTTATGTCTATATGTTTATGTGTTATGTGTGTGATAATTAATAAATGCAGCTAGTTTTAAAATTGGTGAAATAGAAATGGCCTTAAAACTATGAGTTTTATTATATAATTTGATACTTATTTGATTTGGCTGTAAGCTTATATTTTTGGTTTTAAGCCTCTAGATTTTGGGATCTGGGTAGGTGGCCATGGTAAGACATGAAACTACATTTGCGAAATTATGACTAAGACAGTGAAAGAGATCTAACTTAGTCGACTCCATCTTGCTTCTAATCTCCAAGCTGCTCTTGTTCATTCCTGGGTGAAAGCTGAACAAACTTTGGGAGAAACATAGTTTAGAGTTTATATTTTAAACAAAAACAGTAACAGCCCTTTCCCAAAACAGACCTCCTTCTTGCCTGGAGATCAGATTGCCTTGGTAGGGCTAACAGTAGCCACAAGATTAGAAATTATGATTTAGGAGTCACGTAGCTGGAGGCTGCAAGATTCTGACCCTCCCTAAACTGCTCCTAAGATTGGTTCTTGTGATATGTTGCATATCTTGTGCTTGATAGATTCAGCTGGCACTACTCAGATCAATAAACTGGCTCATCTGATCATGTGGCCCCCATCACACTGACTCAGTCTAAGAAGATAGCTTTGACTCCCTGTGATTTCATCCTGACCAATCAGCACTCCTGGCTCACTGGCTTCCCCCTACCCACCAGGTTATTCTTAAAAACTCTGCTCCCTGAAATCTTGAGGAGATTGTTTTGAGTAATAATGAATGAAACTCCCATCCCCCACACAGCCGACTTTGCATGAATTACTC